GGAGCGGATCCGACCGCCGGGCAGCGGGAGTTCGCTTGCCAACGCGGGCCTGACCTTGGGCGGATCAGAGCGCTGGGCGCTGTGGGCTCCTACCAGCATGGAGGAGGGTCATAAACACCAGGTGCGGAGTGTATAGACAGCAGGCTCTCTGTTGACACGCCACATCTCCAGCAGGTGCACAGCGGTTACGGTATATATGTCCGCGTGCTGGCTGTACGCAGAGGGAGAGACGGGGAGAGTCGGGAAGGAGGAGAGGGAGTCCCTGCCGTCCCCAGCCCTGAGGACAGATTCTCTGGGAAACGGCGATGGCCTCCAGCAGGCACTCCTATACTGGGGAATGTCTGCTTGACTTCCTGTGTCCTTTTCCCACACTGTCAGACAGGGAGAGAGAGGGAGGGAGGGAGGAGAGGAGGGAGAAAGCAAGGGAGGAGGAGGAGGAGGAGGAACAAGGAGAAAGAGAGGACGAAGGCAGAGAGACGGAAAAATGGCGTGGAGAGACAGCCGGAGGCAGACCTCAGAGAGGGAGAGAAGACGCTGAGAAAGCAGGAGACAGAGGGCTTTGTTTTCCCTGTGGGCAGGCCGCAGGCAGGCTGCCCACTCGTTAGTAAATTAATTAGATGCCATCAGTTCTGGCCAGGAAAAGTGGAACCAGACAGGGGGAGAGGAGAGAGGGGGCAGTGTGAGCACAAGGAGAGAGGGGGAGAGGAGGGAGGAGCCCAGAGGGGAGAAAGGAAAGCGTGGCCTACCGATCCCCAGCCTCACCTGACCCCTGTGGCCCAGGGGGAGACAGGGGTCAGCTGGGAACACAGTGCAACTCTACTGCCCGGGGGCACTGAGGCCTGTTGCTCATTAAAGACAGGGCTTGAGACCGGGGCAAGTACCTTTAACCCCGTCAAAGGCAGGGTAGAGACCAGGCCGGGCACTGCTCAAAAGACAGGCTGAGCTCTGCTGTTCTGACCTTGTTGGGTCCATTCTAGGGATAACTCACTAGCTCCCCCTCGATGGGACTCCCCAAGTGGAGCAGAATAAGTGAACCTAACAGCACTGGCTGGGTGGGGTAAACACTCAGTGTACTGTGCAACAGCGCCGCCCCTGTGGCTGGCCACAGAGAACCCTTCAGCAATCCCACTGAAGAACAGCTGGGGGAGAGCAGAACCCCCCCCCCCCACCAAAAAAAAAGTGACAACAATATCAAAAAGACATTTTTCCTCAGTGAGAAAGATGGCGCAGTTCTTAGGAAGCTACAGTCGCGCAGTTAATGTCCCCGGCCCTAATTGCACCAGGCAGGGGAGTGAGAGCCTCTCGAGACCCCCGAGAGGAAAAGCACTCCCTCTGTTTACACACAAGCTCACTGGAGGATTCCCAGCTGGGACTGTCTGACATGCAGAGAGAGGGGGAAGAGGAGAGGGAAGAGAGGAGAGAGAGCAAGAAGGCAGTATAGGGAGGGGAGAGGAGACAGTATGGGAGGGGAGAGGAGAGGAGAGGGAGAGGAGATAGTATAGGGAGGGGAGAGAGAGAGAGGAAGGAAAGGAGGAGGAAAGAGGAGGAGGAGAGAAAAAGGAGAGTAGGGGTGGGAGAATCAAGAGAGGAAGGAGGAAAAAAGGAAAAGAGAGGAGAGACGGAAGAAAGGCAGAGAGAGAGAGAACGCGGGAGTCTTTTGTCCCAGAGACGGGAGCCCCCAGGCAGAGGCTGTACCCCCCATGATCTGCTGGCACGAGAAGCTCCCGGTCACACACGCCTCAGGACCCGACAGGAGGAAGAAAATCCAGACCTGCCCCAGGACCGTCAATCACGAGCACGCGAAAAAAAAAAAAACCTTCTCGGAAGTGTCCCCGAGTGCAGTTCTTTTCACAGGAGAGACTCTGCGGATGCAAGAGAGCTGGCCTGCTTAGTGACAGCAGCTCCCACAGGGCTGCGGAGTATTCCGTTTTTATATCCCTGCCTCCGGCGACGAACGCCCTACTGTCCCGATACAGCTTCCCCTCCGGGACGGAGATTGAGAGCTCTTCCGGAGATTATTAAGGGGGGAAATAAATCCCAGCTCAGCCCTGCCCTGCCGCACAACGCTGGTACAGTACTACACTGTTCGAGATCACACCGTCACGCCCCCCGGGGGCATCCGAGAGACTCCCCCACGCTGCCTACAGCCAGGCGTCCTTTCACTGCGACGCAGGGGTCAGCAGTGTGGGGGACCTGGGTGCTGTCTGTGGGGAGCTCGCGCGTTCTCCCTGCGTTTGCATGGGTTTCCTCCCACAGTCCAGAGACATGAGCGGGTGAACTGGCTTCTGGGAAAACTGGCCCTGGTGTGAACGTGTCTGTGGGTCTCCCGTGATGGACTGGGATCGGTTCCGACTCCCCGCGACCCTGTACTGGATGGATGGATGGATGGATGGATGGATGGATGGAAGGAATCAGGCCGTAATTTGAAGGACATTCTACTTGTTTTAATTCCTAATTGTTATCGGGGGTATGGCTGCCTATTCACAGCCTCCTCTGACACGCCCACCTGATGGAGCTGGGGTCATGTGACCTGGAGGGCGAGCTCCGATTGGAGGAGCTGGGCCGCCTCACTCCTGACGTCATCGCGAGCCCGCAGGCGCCCCCTGGTGGTCCCCACTGTGGCGAAGGAATACTGGAGAGAGACCCAGCCCTGCCACCCCAACACCTCACCACCACTGACCCCCTACACCCCAATACCACTGACCCTGACACCACTGAACTTGAAGTCTCAACACCCCAACACCACTGAGTCCGACACCAACGCCGCTGATCCCCTACATCTCGAGACCCCAGCACCCCAACATCAGCGGCCCCGAAACCCTGATGCCTCGGCGCCACCGATGTAAAAACCCAGCTCTGGCGACGCGCTTAGGCATGGATCAGATCCGGGAGATCAGAGAGGCTCCCCCCAGGAGCAGAAAATCCCTGAATTAATCCCAGATATCCTCGATCCAATCCAGGGGCCCAGCAGTGTCCCAGTCCTGCAGAGACTGGGATGGCTGAATCCCAGTGGGGGCGCAGAGGGGAACCGGGGGGGTATCAGTCCAGGACGTTACACTGTGTGCAGTTTCATCCCACCCCAGCAGCAGCAAAACTGCCCCGTGAGTCTTCCCCACAGAAGGGAGAAAGATTCGGAAACTGAGGCCAAGGACATGGGAAAAAAAAGGCCGGCCGGACAGCTGCCCTCATGAGCGCCCTGCAGCTCCCAGTCCAGGAATAGACACAGCGGGAGAGACGGGGGAGGGCCGGAGCGGGAGAGGGGGCACAGGGAGGAGGCGGGTGTTCAGACAGGCCCAGGCAGGCCCGACTCACCATGTTGGGACCCGTCCAGTACAGGAAGAAGCCATCGGGGTCAACCTTCAGGGTGATCAGGATTCTGCTGGGAGGTTCCTGTGGAGGACAAACACAC